CTCAACTCCCCCCCCAACTTGCCCCCCTGCTCCTCAGCCTCCCCCAACTGGTCCCCGCCCCCTCACTCACCCTCCACTGCCCAGCTCTCTTCTCTTCTCCCAAGTGTCCCTTCTCCCTCCTGCCCCCTTGAGCCTCCCCCAACTGCCCCTCACCCCTCCAGTCTCCTTCCCCCACCTCTCCCATCTGATTCCCTTCCTCCCATCTCCCCGCAACCCCGCCAACGTCCCCATTTCCCTCCTTCAGTCTGGCTCTAAAACCCCTCGCCCAGTTGCCCCACTGACCCCCTTCACTCCCCTCTGTGTGCCCCGGGGGCTAACCCCGCTGCAGCTCCACCAGGCTCTTAATACATTTAAAAAGCAGAGGTGGCACCTGGGGGAGCAGGAGTGAGCCAAGAATCCATTGATGTGGAGTGTCTTAGGGGATAAGGCACTCACCTGAGGAGCCAGGGTGGTGGGTTCAAAATCCTGTCCCCTTCGGCCCTTCCTGGGTACTGCCAGACAGCCAACACGGGCTGCCCCAGGGATAGTGCTGGCTCTAGTATAAGAAGGCAGGACAAGGTAACCCCCAAAGGTGCCCATCCCAGCTATAGCTATGCCTCTGCCTCTCTTCTCTTACCTCCTCCCCCTTCCCGACAATGCTTGGAGAACCGGTTTATGTTTATTCGATAGTTAACTAGTCGCTTACATCCCTAGTCTCTGGTGGGTCTGAGCTCCACGTGGACAGAGGCTGCTCTGCATCCCATTGGCTCTGATGGGGTGGCAGGGGGCTTGCCAGGAGTGCACTGGCTGCCACCCCCACCCTTTGGGAATTATCAAATAGTCATGTACCCACTCAAATTTTATGTGGTTACACGACTATTTAATTACCCGCTATCTAACATCCCTAGTAGATTAGACAGAATCTGTGATTATAAGGTTAAAAAATGAGGCATAACTCCTCCATTTCCCTCTGTTAAAAAATACATCCTGCAGGCCTCTCATCAATTTTAAAGAAACAAATGGGGCCAAAGTCTCTCCATCTCCCTTTGCAGGGTCAACGCTAGTTGTCCATGCTTGTATCCTTTGCACATCCAATACTCTGTAGGAGTCCTAAAGAGACAATTCAGAAGGGGTTGGCATGAGATACTTATTGCAATGTAATTCACAGCATTATAGAGAGATATTTCTACCATGTAATCTGAGATCTTATTAGTGAGATACAATAGGAACCCTTGTTAAAAATGGATTTCCATGACCCCCTTACATTTACTATGAGAGTTTTTAAAAGTAGCAAAAAAGCATCAATAATCTTTTTTGTGTGTGGCATATTTGATCTTCAAGGGTAAGGGTGGTGGGAAGTGGGAGCACTGTATTTTCTTCGCTTTAGATTGAAATAAAATGTTAATGCGTTATTATAGCCCTCCCCCTACATATTTCCCTCAACCCCTTGGCTACGTCTACATTGGCCCCTTTTCCGGAAGGGGCATGGTAATTTTTGAAATCGCAATAGGGAAATGCACGGGGGATTTAAATATCCCCCGCGGCATTTAAATAAATATGTCCGCCGCTTTTTTCTGGCTTTTAGAAAAGCCGGAAAAGAGCGTCTACACTGGCCCCGATCCTCCGGAAAAAAAGCCCTTTTCTGGAGAATCTTATTCCTACTTTGAAGGAGAATACTTTGAAGTAGGAATAAGATCCTCCAGAAAAGGGCTTTTTTTCCGGAGGATGGGGGCCAGTGTAGACGCTCTTTTCCGGCTTTTCTAAAAGCCGGAAAAAAGAGGCGGACGCTTTTATTTT